ACATGCCCCACCTGGGGACCTGGCCAGCAACCCAGGACTCTCTGTCAGTCAGCTCGAAAGCCTCTCTTCAGGCAAGCCCACTGCCTCTTCCCTCACCTCAGAGAGCCCCCTTGGACCTCAGGTGCCTCTCTCACATCTTCCTGTTGAGTGACTTATATTGATACTTTTCTACTTATTCTTTATTGTGTTTTTATTTAGATAGAACCCATATACCATAAAATTATACAACCTTTTAAAGTGTATAATTCAGTGAGGTTTTTAACAAAGATTATTTACTTATTTTTAGAGACAGGGACAGAGAGAGAAAAACAGAGGGAGAGAAACATCGATTGGTTGCCTCTCATACGTGCCCTACCTGGGAACCAGGCCAGCAACCCAGGCTTGTGCTCTCACTGGAGATTGGAACCGGCGACCTTCCGCTTTGCAGGATGATGCCCAACCAACTGAGCCACACTGGCCAGGGCTCCAGTGACTTAAAATACACTCACAAGGTTGTGCAACCATTATCACTGTCAGTTCCAGAGCATTTCCATCACCTCGACCCTGTGCCCATCTGTAGTCGGTCCCCATTGTGTCCCGCTCCATAGGCCCTGCAAACCAGGAAGCTGCTCTCTGTCTCTACGAGTGTGCCTATTTTGGACAGGTTGCATAAATGGAGTCATACATCATGTGGTCTTTTATGTCTGGCTTCTTTCACCGAGCATAATATTTTTTGGGCTTGCCCATATTATAACATACATTACTACTGCATTCCTTTATATGGCTGAACAGTGTTCCATTGTGCAGATTGGCCACACCGTGTATCAGTGGATACCCATCAGTTCGCAGACATTTGCACTGCTTCTACTTTGGCACTCTCGTGAACGATGTTGCTATGAACAATCATGTACAAACTTTCATGAGGACATGTTTCATTTCTTTTGGACATATACATCAGAGTGGAATTGTTGGGTTATGTGTAAACTTTTTTTAAAATTTGATTTTTTAAGATTGTATTTATTTATTTATTTATTTATTTATTTATTTATTTTTAGAGAGGGGAAGGGAGAAAGAGAGGGAGTGAAACATCAATGTGTGATTGCCTCTCTCGCACCCCCTACTGGAGACCTGGCCTGCAACCCAGGCATGTGCCCTGACTGGGAATTGAACCAGCTTCCCTTTGGTTCGCAGGCCTGTGCTCAATCCACTGAGCTACATCAGCCAGGGCTATTTACTGATTTTAGAGAGAGAGAAAGGGGGATATATATATATATATATATATATATATATATATATATATATATTTGTTGTTCCACTTATTCATGCATTCATTGGTTGCTTCTTGTATGTGCCCTGACTGAGGATCCAACCTGCAACCCTCATGCACCTGGGATGATGCTCCAACCGAGCTACCTGTACAGGGCATATGTGAACTTTTTGAGGAGTGTTACCAAAGTGACTGCAGCATTTTATATTCCCACCAGCAATGTCCAAGGGTTTTAATTTCTTCACATCTTCACCAACACATTATTTGCCGTTTTGAGTATAGTCATCCTAGTGGGTGTGAAATGGCATTTCATTATGGGTTTAATTTGCATTTCCCTAATAATAATGATGTTGAACACCTTTTCTTGTATTTATTAGACATTTGTATATCTTCTTTGGAGAAATGTCAATTCAGATTTGTTGCCCATTTTACAAATTGAGCAATTTGTCTTTTGTTGTTATTGAGTTGTAAGTGTTCTTCATGTATTCTGGATACAAGTCCTTTAACAGATATAAGATTTACAAATATTTGCTCTGGTTGGTGTGGCTCAGTGGATTGAGCGCCAGCCTCTGAACCAAAAGGTCACCAGTTTGAATCCCAGCCAGGGCACGTGCCTGGGCTGTGGGGCTGGGTCCCCAGTTGGGGGCATGTGAGAAGCAACTAATCAGTGTATCTCTCACACATTGATGTTTCTCTCCCTCTCTTTCTCCCTCCCTTCCCCTTTTTCTAAAAGTAAATAAAATCTTTTTAAAAAATGATTTATGATATTTTCTCTCATTTTCTGGGTTGGGTTGTCTTTTCACTTTTTAAAAAGATTATTTATTTACTTTTTTATTTGTTTATTTATAGGGGAAGGGAAGGACAAAGAGAGGGAGAGAAACATTGATGTGTGAGAGACACATTGATTGGTTGCCTCTTGCATGCCCCCAATTTATAGTACACTTAATTTATAGTGAGAGTTAGGGGTTCAACTTCATTCTTTTGCATGTGAATATCCAGTAGTCCCAGCACCATTTGTTTGAAAAAACTGTCTTTCCCATTTCATGGTCTTGACATTCTTGTTAAAAAATAAATTATCCATAGAAGCATGATTTATTTTTAATTTTTATTTATTGATATTAGAGAGAAAGAGGAATGGAGGGGAGAGAAAGAGACGGAGACAGAGAATTATCAATTTGTTGATTTATGCATTCACTGGTTGATTCTTTTTTTTTTTTAAGATTTTATTTATTTATCTCCAGACAGAGGAGAAGGGAAGGAGAGAGGGAAAAAAACATCAGTGTGTGGCTGCCTCTTGCACACCGTCCACTGGGGACCTGGCCTGCAACCCAGGCATGTGCTCTGACTGGGAACTGAACTGGTAACCATTTGGTTTGCAGACCCATGCTCAATCCACTGAGCCACACCAGACAGGGCTCATTGGTTGATTCTTCTCCAATTCTTGTCCTGACTGGGGATTGAACTCACAACCTTGGTGTATATTGGGAGGACACCCTAACCAACTGAGTTGCCTAGGCAGGGCTGGGTTTGTTTTACAACTTTTTATTTATTCTAGCGATTGTCAATCTTTTTCATCTCAAGGCACATATAAACTAATTACTAGAATTCTGTGGCACGCCCAAAAATATATTTTTTGCCAATGTGACAAAAAATAGGTATCATTTTGTCTTTTTATTGTATTTTTTCCATTACCATTTAGTCCCCTTATGCCTCCCTCCCTGCAGCAATCACCACACTGCTGTCCATGTCGTGAGTCCTTTCTCCTTTCTGCTCAATCCCTCCACCCCGTCATCTCCCCACCCACTAGCTGTCATCCTGCTCTCCATCTGAGTCTGTCCCCATTTCCCTTGTTAGTTCAGCTGTTTATTAGGTTCCATGTATGAGTGAAATCATAGGGAACTTGTCTTTTTCTGACTTAGCACAATGTTCTCTAGGTCCATCTATACTGTTGCAAAGAGTAAGATTTTCTTCTTTTTTACAAAGAAGTGGTATTCCATTGTGTTTAGGTATAAGTTTGATTCATTCACACTGGACACTATTGTTGTGTTACTTGTTGTCATTTTTTCACTGGACAATCTAAGGGAAAAGGGGTCAGTGCCCCTGACTAAACAGGCAGCTATTGCATGTTTTAAACGTTCCTGCTGCACGCTGGTTGAAAATACTGTTTTAGTCCTTCGGGCAACAGGCCTGTCTTTATGCCAGTACTACACAGCCTTAACTGCCTGATTTTGTGTGTCTCCACCCCCACCTTTTTCACTGTCTAGACTGGAAGTACCAAGGGGTCAGGACCTGCTCCCTGCTGTGTTCCCAATGCCTAAAACAAAGCCTGGTACTGAGTAGATGCTGGATAAATACTTTTGGATTGAGTGAATAAATTCTTGAATGAGTACAGTGCTGTTGGGGAGGAAGCCAGTTGAAAGGGCCAGGTTGAAGGTATAGAACCAAGAGGTCACTGAGGTCAAGTGTGCCTGAATAGGGTCATGGGGTCATGGGCCAGAGGAGAGGAGCAAAGAAGAAACCCTTCATCCTCTGAGACAGTGCAGGCCTCAGCTGTTTCAGGTGGGAAGCGAAGGAAATTGACGGAGGTCCCACCCAGGGCCTCTGCCTCCTTACAAAGGTAGCAACTGAAAGAGAAGGGAGGGGCAGCAGGCTCAAGGAAGCCAAGGACAGCTGAGTGACTGTAGGGACCCAGTCCAGGGTTCAGCCTAAATGGTGGGCACCTTCTGCTCATGACTGGGTCTCTTCTAGGGTTCTGTGGGGCCAGTGCTATCAGATGAAGGGTCAAGGGGTCAAGTGCTGGAGAGGGTACATGTAGGTCATGGTCAGGGAGCCCAGTCTGGCAGTGCAGGGCCCCTGACCATAGGCAATGCTCCCGAGCCCTCAGTGCCAGCCACCCCAGACACTCACAGTGTAGTGTGCAGTGCTGAGGAGAGGTCAGGCAGGGCCACCTCCCACAGGTGACTTCTCAGGGCTGGAATGACCCTGTGGCAGCTCATCTGGCCAACACAGCTGGCATGGGGGATAAGGGCAAGCCATGAGGCTAGCTTGGGGGCAGAAACAAAGCCCAGCTAAATAAACACACAGGCCTGCCCCGCTCAGTGAGCTTGGCTAGTATCTGAACTTGATATTTACACATTTTTGTCTGCAGTTTGGTAATACTCTTAAGCCTTCAGAAGGTCTTGAAAGATACCCCTAAAAGACATAAAGGAGATATAAAGGGGGAGGAGTAGTTGAAGTAGTTGAATGCGGCTAAAAGAGGGTGAGGAAAATGTTGGGAAATTGTTAGGAGCAGACTATGAGAAGCTTGAGGCACAGGGTCAGTCCCACTGGCAGGGCCAGACGCACGCACGGACATGGCCTTGCAACTATGTGGAGGCTGAGAGTGGAAGCAGAGAGAACTGAGAGGGCCCTGAGCCCGTGAGGGAAGAGGAAGCTATGACTTGGACCAGGGAAGTGCCAGAGAAATGGGGGTAAAAGGTGGGCTAAGAAGGGTTTCAGAAGGTAGAAAGGACGGGCCCTGGAGACCAGATGGGGGCATGAGGGAGTACGAGGGGTCAAGGTAGGCTCCAGATTTCCAGCTTAGGTGAGGGGGCCAGAGGGAGGGAGGCTTCAGCGAATGCGATGTGGGGACTGTGGGGTACAGCTGGGGTGGGAGTGGGCGGGGAGTACGTTCACTTCATTTTTTAAGATCTTATCCTGACATTTTAAACATACAGATAAAGAAAAAAGAAAAATGTAACCAATAGCACTGAGATTCAATATATGTTAACATTTTGCCATATTCGTTTAAGAGATTTTTTTTCTGAAGCACTTCAAAGTGAATTAGGGACATTGTGATACTTCTCATCCAAATACTTAGCAAACTTCCCCAAAACATGAGGACAATCTCTTACATAATCACAATACCACCCAGTAACACTACCGCTCTAATGTTTAATGTTCTTTCCATATTCAAATTTCCCCAAAATGTCTTCAGGATTTCTTTCCTCTGAATGATAATCTCATCAAGGATCATACATGACATTGGTCCTTGTAGTTCTTGAGTGTCATTAGAAAGTTCCCACCATGTTTTCCATGGCTTTTGACTTTCAAAGTGACCTAGCCAGGTAGAAGGTCCCATGTTCTGCCATTGGCTGGTGGCTTCCTCGTGGTGACCTGTTCTTCTGCCCCCACCTGCATTTCCTGTAAACTAGACATGAAGTCAGAGTCTTTTGGGTTAACACTTTTGGCAGGAATGCTCTGAAGTAAGGCAAATGCTGGTGTGCTGGCATGTTAGGGTTGGAGAGTCTGAAGGTCATCAGGGCTGACGTCACGTTAGCAGTAGAACTTACGAGTATCTGTGGTTGGAAGACGCGGAGGAAGAATCAGGTGAGAGTGCCTCCAGAGTCACTGCAGAGGAGATGGGCCTCCAGCCAGGAATCTGTGGAGGAGATCCCCCAGGGCATTTCCAGAGGAGTCCCTGATGAGACAGGACCAATAAAATCACCACTCGAGGCCCTGCCATGCACCCCCCCCACCAAAAAAAAATCCTGGGTCTTTGCCCCAGAGTCAGTTGATGTGTCTAGAGTTGAAAATAAGCCCCCTAGAGGGACTTGTAGTGACCATGAATGATAGGGAATCTACCAAATCAAAACTGGAAGTGCAGGGCTAGGATAGCCACCGGGAGGATAGAAGTGATTTCAGAAAGCCTAATGAGTCCTATTAATGAGCCTAAGGCAAAGGATGAGACCAGAAAGGAAAAAGTGGGGGTAGGGTGGAGCTCAAAGAGGTGGCACCTCCAGCTCGGCCCAGGGAGCCCTGGCGCAGTCAGGGGACCTAGGGCTATGTTGGGCCCTGGATCTCCAGGATGGGCAGTGACTGAAGCTAAACCATAGAAGAGAGTGGTCCCTGTTGCCTTCAGCATCCTGAGTCTGTGGCAACGAGGGGTCAGAAACACCCTGAGAACATCCAGTCACATGCTTCCCCTGTGCTGACACCAACTTCTCACTGTGGATTAGGACATATTGCAAGACATGGTCCTGTCTGCAAGTCCAGGCTCATCATCTACCCTGTGCCCCTCCCTCTCCACCCTTCAGCCTCACCAGCCACTTTTGGTTTCTAGATGCAGAAGTACTTGCCCTGTTATTGCTCCCCCTCTTCAGAGCTCTGTGTACCAACTGCCTGTGCTGCTAAGAAGCGGGCACACTGTGAAGCACCTGTGAAGTGATCAGCACAGACTCTCACCAAGACCAAGAGGCCCGGTTTGACCCCCCCGCCCCAGCCCTAATACTGATAGCTGTGTGACCTTAGGCAAGTTACAAAAACTCTCTGTGCTTATATGTCCTCTCTATGGTTGTTCAGAGTTAGTGTTACCAAACTCCAGGGGTTCACTGCTTAGGGTATTCTATTCAAGAATGAGACATGGTTGTTGTTAGGCAGTTTCATTTACTTGCAGAAAGTAAAGGACACAGGATTCACATTCAAAGTTCTATCTCCCAGAAGGGTGGCTTATTCATTGCTTAAATACACTGTTTGGTTAATGACATGTTTATTTCTTCTTTGCAGCTGGCTGCACTTATCAGGTTGGTTCCCTCAAGCTTATCTGGTTACAGCTGTTTCTGCAAAATACATCTTAACATTCAGCAAGGATAGCAGTTAGTAAGAACCACTCAGACCTTGAGGCCCTTGTCCTACCTAACATTAATATGAGCTTCAGCCCTGGCCAGGTGGCTCCATTGGTTGGAGCATCGTCCTGTTATGCCAAGATTGCAGGTTCGATCTCGATCAGGGCACGCATAAGAATCAACCAATCAATGCACAAGTAAGTGGAACAACAAATTGATGTTTCTCTCTCTCGCTCCCTAAAAACAAAACATTAAAAATTATGTATATGAGCATCAAAAAGTGCCTGGCACCTGGTAAGTCCTGTAATCTTTCTGGACACAATCATTGTTCTTGCAAGGCTCCAGGGAGTTCAAGATCTGCCCAAGCTCACAGAGCTTGTACATGACAGCAGTCTTAAGGTGTTTCTCCGGTACGCTCCCTGTGGCAACACACTTGTGGATCATGGCACAGAAACCCACCTAACTGCAGAGGTTTTCTGTGCTGTAAATCCCATGGTTTTTACATACTCTGCCCTAATACTGTTTCTGTAGGTTAAATTGACCCTTAGCAGACCAAGTGAAGCGATTGTGCCATTGGAAGACTAAAAAGGCACACAGGCAGATCCCTGTTACAAGCAGTTTACGATCTAGTAAGAGACTAGAAAGAAAAAGTAGCTTAACACCAGGCCTTGCATGATGATTGTGAGCTCCTAAAGGGTAGGAAATTCAACAACCATAAAAAAATACAACCCATGGGTATTTTTGGGGGGGGGGGGGAGGGGGGATTCAACCATGTACAAAAACACCTGGTAGGTATTTAGCAGTCTCGTTTTACAGAGCAGGAACCTAAGTCTCAACAATGTTAAACACCTGTCGTTGGTCACTTGATGAGTGACTTGAACTTGGTTCTGTCTTCCGCCAAATCACCATTTTGAGCCTGACGTGACAAAAGGGACTGGGATGTACATAACAGGGATGAACTGCATGAACCGGCTGGAGAGAAGAGGGAGACTTGGCAAAAGGATACAGGGTCCGGGCCAGTCGGGTCTGCGGACTCAGGCAGGTTCGCAGGACAGGAGCCCAGTTGTCCGCACGTGGCCCCGGAGCCGGCCCACCGCAGCTCTAGCTTCCGCTCACACAGCGCTTAAAGCATTTCTGGGAGAGCGCCTCTGATTGGCCAGCTCGGTCAGGTGGCCCCTGCAGGCCAATCAGCGGCGGTCAGTCCTGGGGCCTCGCGCGCTGCGCTGCGGACTTGGGGGCGGCGGGGGGTGGGGAGGTGATGTGTGTGTGCTGAGCCCAGCGGTGGAAAGGCCGCCAATGCCTAGTAATGTCCGGCGAGCCCCAGTCCAGCTAGCGACCCCACTGACCCTTAAGGCCTATTTATCTGATTTGGCCTCCAGCCCTGCCCCACGGCTCAGACAGGAAAGAGGGAAAAGGCCTGGGCTGGCCCCCCCATGTGGGCTTTGGGTCCCGCCCTAATGTGGCCTCGCCTTTTGTGCATCTTTTTCCCCTCGCCCTGCTGGAGCTCCAACCCTTCTGTCTTCTTGCTCCAGGCCAGCAGTCCACAAAGGATGTGGTCTCTTTTTCCTTTTAAGAGAAAACTCTCAGGCCGGACCAGTGTGGCCCAGTTGGTTGGGCGTCGCCTTCTGGTAGGGGCACAGGCCTGGGTTTCTGTGTTGTGTCCCCGGTGGGGCCTGGTGGAGAAACCCATGGATGTTTCTCTCCCTTTCTTCCTCCTTTCCCTAAAAGTAAATAAATAACATTTAGAAAAAGAAAAGAGAGGAAATTTACTTGAAAAAGAGAAATCTCAATGCCCCTCCAGCCAGGTTCTGCCCTCTCTCCCGTTTACTTCCCTTAGGCTTCCTTCCTCACCCCACCCCTTTGGCTTCACTCACAATGCAAAAGCTGCACAAGTGAGCTAAACTTAAGAGGGGAAGCCAAAGTGAAAGTCTTCCTTGTCCTGTCTAATATTCCACACCCAGGGCAGACTAATTCCCAGCTCGGCAAAGGCAGTACTGCCGACTGCTGGAGGCAGGAGAGAGAACCATGAACTGCAGTCCTAGGGCAGGCAGCCAGACTGGGAGATAGCAGAAATCAAAGTTCGAGTCTTGGTTGGATGATCTTCAGGGCAGTATTGGACTTCTCTGAGTCTTCATTCCCACCTGGAAGTTGGAAATATAAACAGACTCCGTCTCACGGAGTTGATGCAAGGATTCTCCCTACGGTTCTTGGAGGCACTGATTGGTACTTGACTGTTTTAGCCGAAAGACTTGGAGGAGAAAGAGGACTTTTGTGGTATACTATCGCCACCGTGTGACTAGCTGGGGAGTTACACAGGGAAGGTTCACGGGCCTTGGGAGGGCTATCTGGACTGGCATTCTCTGAAGACTGAGATTGTGTTGCCCGTGCCTACTTCGCTTCCGCTCTCCAGGCCCACTCGGGTGCTGCAGGCCAGTGCTGGCACCTGTGGAGGAGAAAGTATCCCACCCCTGGGCTTAGGGCAGTTGTTGTGCTTTCTCTAACTCCATAAGTTTTGTTTTGGTGGCTCTTCGGTGTCACATTCAAGACCCTTCAGGACCGGAACTCTGGGTGACTTAGCTCTGACCTGCCCCAAGAAGCAGTTTCCACCTTCTTCTCCCTTCCCAGCCCTCCTGGATCTCCCTTTGTCCTCCCCTGACTCAGGAGCCTGAAGCACATATCCCCACTGAACATGTAAAGTTCCTGGGGCAGTTTTCCCATGAAGGGCAACCATTAACTGAGCGCCTGCTGTGTGCCTGGTACTGCACTGGACTCCTTGTGGGCATTTATTCTGTCACTCTGCGCAAACCCCAGAGAGCATATGATCACTCCCATTTTGTGGAAGAGGATGCTGAGGCAGCGAAAGGTAATGTGACTCATCCGAAGTCCCATAGCCATCAAGTGACAGAACTCTTCCTGAAACTGCAAGGCCACCTAGTATGGTGGATGAGGCAGACAGACTAAGATTCACCTCCCATCTCTGCCACTCACTACTGACTTCAAAGTTTTGAACCCAATCGTTCTGTCCTCTCTGAAATGAAGTGGCAGCTCCCACTGGCCTGAGTGCTGTCTGCAAGGGGGAGGCAACGTTTGGGGACTAACATCCAGGGACGGAGAAGCGGAAAGGGTGTTGCAGCCAGCAGCCAGAGCTGGCATGGAGCGTGCTGGAGGAAACTGGGGTCCCCTCAGGGAGGCTAGAGTGTAGCTCAGGACCCAGCCAGCAAGAGTAGGTAGGGCTCAGGGGTCCAAGCCCCCATCACCCATCACCTTTGTAACCCTTGCCTGTCCTTCTGAAGCCCACCTGGGCCTCTTCGGCACCTTTGTCACTCGGCAACCTCAGAGGGGCCTTTCCTAACACACATCTAACCATGTCCTTTGCTGCAGGAAACCTTGTCGCTTGCTGGGGACTCTCTACCCTCCTGAGAGCCCTGTGGGTCTGTCACTGCAGCCCTGACAGTTCCATCAACCTCTCTGGTCTCTGGTCCCCTCCCATCTCCTTGGAGGCCTTTGCTCATGTTGTTCACGTGGCCTGAAACTCTCTTCTCTCCCTTCTTCGCCTAGTTAATGCTGAGGTGTTGGCAGGTTTCCTCATGGGGGGATGGGCAGCTTGAGACCCGACAGAGGAGTAGGAATTCTGGAAACCGGTAGGAAGTGGAAGTGGAAGGGAGTGGAAGACTGTTCCAGGAAGACAAAAAGACCAGTGCAGAGGGCTGGGAGTGCCCGAGTCGGAGGGAGGGGGGTGAAGGGAGGAACTGAAGCTAATGAGAATGAGGCGTGTCTAAGGCTAAGGCCAATCCTTGTGAGCTGGGAGGGTTTTGAGCAGGGGTCATTACAGTAGTTTTGCCCATCATCTATTTGGCTGGGTAGGGTGGAGGAGGCCTTATCAGCATCACTGAACAGCCTGCTGGGACTGGTTCCATCACCACCAGCAGCGGAAGTCATCTCTTCACAGGATGCCCACCTAAAACCTCTACGGTGCCTCCAAGGTCCCCCAGCCCCACCTCACACAGGGCTGAAGTGGGATGCTCCACTCCTTGTGGCTGCCACGAGGTGGCACCATCACCCCAGTGTGTCCTCTTTGCTCCGCTCCCTGTGCTGGAGACCCTGTCCAGGGAAGAGACTGGAGAGGAAAGAAGAGATGGGTGTCCCATGAAGAGGAGAAGGCCACGGGTCAGGGCTAGGGGTGGTTTGGGTGCCAGATACAAGGATGGGGGGTTAGGGTGGTGCTGGCTCCTTGTGTTTTTTTTTTTTATTTTTATTTTACTTTTCTGCAAGAAAGCTTTGTAGTTTCTGTTTGCTGCAATGCATGGGAGAGGGGTCCAGGTGGTTAAAGGGATGCTTAATGCCTTTAAGCATTAAGGGCTTCAGGGAGAGGCTCAGGCAAAAGCCAGGTACTAGGGAAACGCAGAGGGGCCCCTCAAAGGTCTTTGGGCTCCAAAGGCTCCTGGTCGTGCTTGAGAGCGAGCCTTTTGAAGAGACACTTGCCCAGCACAGCATGGGGGCTGCCAGCCTGCCGGTGTTAGTCAGGTGGTCTCCCATCTTCTTGATGAGTTCCACTCGCTCATCAAGGGCTCATCAAGGACGTGGTTCTCTGGGAAGTCACAGAGGAGGGACTGTGCGGATAGAACCCAGGGCACCCAGATCCAAGAGGGCCCGGTGCGGTTTCTTCTCCAAGGCCAGGGCGGCTTCCATGGAGTCCTGAGTTTTACCCCACTCATCTTGGGAAGGCTTCAGTGCAGCCTGGAAGAGGGTGTGGCCACCGTGCTGGTTTTGCAGCTTTAAGAGACCTTTGGTGCCCTCTCACTTCTTCCAGGCCTACTGTCAGAAGAGGTGGCCCACACTCTGCAGAGCCATATCGTCACAGTCGAGTTAGAAGACTGGAGAGAGAGGTCAGTGTAGGAGGCCCACAGATGCAGGGTGGTCAGGTGGTGGATGAGGCCTCCACCTCATGGGAGTGCACGAGTTCAGCAATGAGGAGCTAAGGTAAAAAATTGATGCTGGCTGCTCTCGGAGGCTGGGGGCGGCTGAGGAGGTTCTGGAGGTAATGACTGGAGGAGAGGTTGGAGGAGGGTCAGAGGCTGGAAGAAGGGACACTTCTAGATCTGTTCCATCCAAACACTGTTGAAGCAAGGGGCAGACCCCAGGACCACCAAGGGTACTCTGGGTTGTGTTTTTTCAGGGTCAAGCAGAGCACATCTGTCTGACTTAAATTTTTGCCATTACCTGCCCTGCCTACCTCCATGCATCACCCCTCTGGTCCCTGAAAAGCTCCTGTGGACTCCCCTGGTCACCCAAGTCTTGGCTCTTTCTCACTTGCAAGCTTTTGACTACCTTCTCCTCCGTCCCACCACCATTACTGCGAGTGCCGCCACAGACCACAGCTCTGTGTCTGACTCAACGCTGCAGCAGTGCGCGGAAATGCAGAGGGGCCCTCAAAGGTCTTTGGGCTCCAAAGGCTCCTTTGGAGCCCAAAGGCTGCCAGTCTCCCCACATCTGTACCAGCAGCCTCTGTTCTCTGTTCTCCCCTCTCCCCTGGAGATGAAATTCTACAGCCTGCGAGGCTTGCTGCCCTGTGGCCTCATCTGGTGCCCCACGGTCTTTCTTATGCTATGTGTCCATGAAGCCAGGTGGGAGTCCCCAGATTCTCTTCACTCCTGTGTGCTTCCAGACATTTGCACAGTCTGTTCCCTCTGCCTGGAATGCTTTTCCAGGACCTCCCACTCATCACAAGGCCAAGTGCTTCCTCCTTCGACTCATGTATCACTGCCTCATTAGAAGCTTCCCTGAGCCAGAGCAGGTTCATTCCTACTGCAGGCACTCACGGCTACAGCCATGTGGCCTTCAGGGCCTATGTTTGAGGCTAGTCAGCACTTCCCTGGGCATTTGATGTCTCTCTCTCCCTTCGAGGTTTTAGACTCCTTAGGGCAGGCCTGTCTCCGTCACAGGGTATGTCAGTGACTAGATGGCACTGGCCTGCAGCAGGTGCTCCATGAACGTCTGCTGACTTGCTGTGCTCTGGCCCCCAGCACTCACACATGCGCACAACTGATTCTCTATGCTTAGCTCTCCGTTCTTCCTCAGCATGGGCACCCCAGGCACCCCGGGCACC